GGGGGGCGGCCTCGAGGTCCGGAGACCGGGGTGCGGGCTCCTGGGGAAGCGACTCCGAGGCAGCTGGTGAGGGCGCGGCGCCGAGGCTCACATTCAGGGTCACGGCCGGGGCCTTGCGCTTCAAGCAGCTCTTGGGGGCCTGGGGGCTGGGGGCAGGGGCCGGGGTTTCTGGGCCTGCTCCCTCGCGACCCGGCACGTCCAGCACTGGCTGCACCTCCTTCTGGCCAGGGTGTTCTGGCCCATGGGGACTAGGGAGAGTCTCCAGGGTGGTGGCGGGGCCAGGCTCGGGAGGGGTCGTGTCCCCCTCGAGGATGCAAGGAGATAATTGACCCTCTCCGTCTCCAGAAGCACAATCCACCTCGTCTGCTGTGTCCCTGTCTGAGGAACACGTGCTCTCCTGGGACAGCTCCTCCCTCTGGGCTTCCCTGTGATTAGGGTGCGGGGAGCCTTCTGGCCCAGACGGGGACTCTGCGAGGGAGGCTGGGCCTGACACAGCCTCTGTGACCTCTGGGGTGGCCGGGCGGCTGGAGGGGTTGTCCCCCAGGAGGCTGTCCTCCTCGGTGCTGGCACTGAGGGCCGGGCAGTGCTGCAGGCGCCTCCGCCGGGCACGTGCCCCCCCAGGTGGTGGCAGCATGGTGGCCAGTCCCCCGGGCTCAGGGCCTCTGTCGGGTCCCACCTCCTGCTGCCCAGAACTGGGCTTCTCCTCCGTGCTGACTTTGGGGAGTGGTTTCTCGTCGTATTCCTCCTCCTCTGGGGTACCCGTCAGATCGCTCAGGGATTCGGACTGTGCTCTCTAAGGAAAAGAAGACAAGCATCACTAGGATGAATACGAGGAAGACTCCGGCCTCCCCATTGTGTTCAAGGTTTAATTAGGTTTAAAGGAAGTAGTATGTCTCTAATGCTGGCACTCAGGTGGCCATTCACATACAGGTGTCTTTTCTTAATCCCCCCTTACTGGTCTGTTTGGAATCTTGCCTCCCAAGTTCAGTGTTCCGCAGAACAGAGGCAGCTACGCCCTTAAGATAAATGCTATCTGAAGCTCTTAAGGCCAGGCCACAAAACCAGTGGACACTGCTCTACAGGGAAGGGGACCAGCATCAGCCCCGTCTGCCACGCTCGTGCTCTGCGTGGTTACTTCACTTACTCCCTGACTCATCCCAGTGCGGAGAGGATCAGTATTTCCTGTTTGCACTTGGAGAACCAGGAGCTCAGGGAGGTCCCTACCTTGGTCAAGGCCGAGCAAATAAATGGCTCAGTAGAAAATCTGTTGCCCTCTCTGACCCCCGCCACCCTTGTGCTGCCTGGGAGGCAGTCTCCAAGGTCAATACCCTCTCTGTCCAGGGATGCACCGTCATGGCGAAGGCAGGCTGGTCTCCCTAAGAGACGATTCACAGCATTCAACACAGGCAACAGCAAACCACAGCTTACAGGATAAAACCCAAACTTTCCAGCTAAATCTCAAGTCGTATGTTCTGTGGTTTTAAATGGTTTCTCCCACCCCCTACTCGGGTCTAACCAAGCCCCCACCGCTGTCTGTGTTAGACTCTGGGCCTGAGGGACCGCCCCGCCCCACCAGCAACCCCAGAGCTGTCTCCACTTCCAGGCCTTGCCTGCTCCCTGCGCCTGGGGGCTCTCCCTTCTCTCCTGAAGCCTCCTTGGCTGGGCAATAATACACTGTCTTGTGTTATTTTTCTCTTGAAAGGTCTCTGGAATTTAGATTCAGTCCACTTCCTCCCTCCCGTACACAAAGTCAGTTCCTACGCAGTTAGGAAGGACAGGAGCCCAAGGTACCCGTGACTCACCCCAAAGCCAGCGAGAACGTGGCTGAGAGGCCGAGGGCATTGAGGTTGGGCTTTTTCAAAAGTTCCTGAATTTAGACCTGACTTTAGACTTTGGAGAGTCCCCCAGGCTGCTGCACAGACAGTGCTCGCCTTCCTTCTTCGTAGGAAACACTGGGGGGGGGTGGTGTTTGCAATAGGTTTTTGTTATTTGAACATTTTCCAGCTGGCATCTGCTCGCTAACACAGGATAACTGGGATGTTTGTGACAACACCTCAGCTAGCTCCTTGCCAAGATGCACAATTCTATTCCTCTGGATTTAAGAAGAGGACGATGCTAAAAGAAATTGCAGAAGAATTTTCAAAAGCTGCGGGTTTGAAAGGTATTACTGGCCTCTTGCTGCTACAGGAAAGCTCTGGGGTTGAAATCCCTTTAGCATGTGGGTTGTACTTTAAAACGGCTGGAACCCACAGTAAGTCAGAGTAGGAATGAGGAGCAGGTCTGGCTTGGGCACATCCAACCTGAGGCACCGGCAGGTCCAAGGGGTTAGAGTGGAGCGGGCAGGCTGGAGGAAGGCTGGCGTGGAGCCTGGACTCCAGAGGGTGGACTCAGACGCTGAGCAGAGGCTTTGCAGGGAACAAAGCAGCTCCCATCTGAGCCCGGGTTCTCTGGCTTGGACAGCAAGGAGGATGCACATGCCCACTCCACCTGCACTGCCTCCCCTCCCTTTCCTCCCCTGGGCCCTCAGAGCGGCTTAGCACCCTGGAGCCCTCCCGAGGAACCAGAAGCAGGGACCCAGTGCTCAGCCTGCAGCCCCCCAGATGGAGACTGTACCACAGCTGCCCACTCATCCACCTCCTCCCACCAGGAGAAGAGCGTCTGGGCAGCATCCCCATCATCTCTGGGCAGAGGATGCTGCTGGTGAGCAGCACAGTGTGGAGAGGGGGCATCAGTCTCTGTCCGAGACCTGGGACTTGCTGGCAGCTCTGCCAGCCACGTGACCACACCGCTCCTAACAGCAGAGTTAACAACACTCCCTCTCCTGGCACTGCCAGGGCTGGGATGAGGACCAGCTGGCATGGTGAGACGTCAGTGTAAACATTCACGGGCGTTCCCTCCTAGGGCGCCGGAGCCACGCACAGGACATGTTCTGTGCAGCGGGGTAAAACGCGGAGACGACCAACAACCCGCGTTTGTCTTCCGTGTGCTCCTCCTTCCCAGCCTGGGCTCCAGTGGGGGCAGCGGGAGCCGGCCAAACGCAGTCTGGAATGTGGTTTTCAGATTTGTAACAAATATCACACTCTTGATGGCCAAGGGTTATTTTCCTTTTTTGCTGTGCAAGATGGGATTTTTAAGCTAGGAAAAAACCTTTTTTCCCCTAGTGCACCAAAAGACTCAGAGCCTAGATAATAGGGAGAGTTTCCCCCACCTAGAGCTGGAGGGGCAGAGCTGGGGGACGTCTGGCTGGGCGTGAGCAGCTGTTCTGCCCACACGGAGGAAGAGCTTGGGTAGCAGCCGTATAGACAGGGAGACAGAAGATGCCTGAGCCTGGGGATGCGGGAGGTGGTGAGAGTGGGTAATAGAGAAAGAAACCCCAAATGTTACAGGGGATCAGAGAAGCAGGAGAAACTTCGACTGTACTGTCCAGTGAAGCGCCAAGGGACAGCGAACCTCCAGAAGTCCCCAGGTCAGCAGGGCAGCAGAGGGGGCAGCATGGTGGCTCTTCCCACCCTCAGAGCAGAAGGGGAAGAGCTTAAACCACATGGTCTCGAGGAAGGTCCTCATGGCTGGGAGGAGGGACCTCGTGACCAAAAGGCAAAGGGGGCTGCAGACACGAAGGGACAAAGGCCTCCAACTTGGGACCCAACAGTGACACTGGTGACCGACCATCAGCGAGACACCTCTGTCTAGTCAGGAAAATATGGACACCTCCCCAAATGTAATGTATCCATGCCTGCTCCCGACCAAGAAGGGAAGGGAAAGAAAGAGGCAAAGACGTGGAAAGGCCAGAGTTTAAATCAAGGAATGACTGTGTTGACCCACACCACCTAAATCAGATTTTCTCTTATTTTGAAAAATGGGATTCAAGAGCTAAGTCAAGTTCAAAAGTAAAGAAGGAGGTACAGCTCTGCTCAGCGGGCAGCAAGAGGTGCGTTTCCACCTGGATTATGAGAGCCGGGCTTCCCTCTGCCAAGTCCTGGCCAGGCGGTGGCTGGGTACACACACCCTTCCTGGGCAGAAGGCATCTCCCTGAGAAGAAAGGCCAGACTGGAGGGCCAGAGGGAACTGGCTTTGCCCCTGCCCTGTGGCTATCCTCAGCACGAGGACAGGCTGGTCAGAGTTGTTGGATCTTGCAAGTGCCCAGAGTACTCAACCTTTAACTGTAAAGGTTCTGATGGATAAGCATTTGCACAAGTCGCCAGGTGCCCAGTTTGCACAAGGGCACACCAGCCCAAAGTAACACAGTTCGCTTCTTTCTCCAGCATTAGTCCCCTCAGAAGTCAATCCTGCCGGCATGAGCTTAAAAAGCACCTTCCCCGTGCCCAGAGGAAGACCCACGCTCTCCAGGGAGCCCCTGACGTGCCGGGAGGCCCCAGACCACTGCCTCCAGCTACAGCACCCCACTTGTCCTGGCACTTCATCAACACGTCCTGATCTTGCCTCCAGGGAAGGGCCGCGGGATGTCAGTCGGTGAGCAGCTCTCTCTCGGCCCTGGCATGCTCTGTGGCCTGGCTGGCCCCACACTCTGCATCTCAGCACCACCAGGCAGTGGAGAAGACAATAACCCCACGTGGACCTCTAGCCCCCTGGTCCCATGAAGCCGAAGCGTGGCATGAGAGAGTTCCCAGCCCCCAGCATGACGAGCTGATGACAGGCCCGAAGACAGATCTGTCCTCACAGGGGCACCACCCCCTGGTTTCTAAGTTGGTCCTCACCCTAGGCAGCTGTCCATCTAGTCATTCACCTCCCTCCTCTGTATCCACTCATTCACAAGTCCATTCATTCATTCATGTGTTCTACTCATGTCCACCAATGCCTGTGACCAGCACTGTCCGGGGCTGGAAGTACGCGGGGTCCAAGGTCTCAGGGGGGGCTGGCAATAACCCAGGGAGTGTCTCTATTTACAAAGGTCACTTCCGTGTGCGACCGGTGCCTACAGAGGAAGTGGCCACAGTGACGGGAAAGTGGGGCTGCTTTCCACAGGATGGTTAGGGCGAGCCTCTCTGCGGCAAGGACCTTGGAGCCGACCCCCAAGGGCTGAGCAGGAGTCAGCTGGGAAGAGGGTGTCCCCACCAGGTACTGAATCCTGGTGGGTGACAGCTTGGAGAGCTCCAGAAGCAGAAAGGAGCCCAAAGCATGTTGAGTGAGAATGGGAGGAAGTAGGCAGGGCCTGGTTGGGCCAGGTCTGCACTGTGAACGTCACCCTGAGTGCAGTGGGAGGACGAGACCCACGGCACACAGCACATTCTCTAAGTGCAGCAGAATGAATGAACCAATGAATGAATGAATGAATGTTTGCGCAGGGAGAGGAGCATCTGAAACCACACGCGACCCCAGCTCCTGCCACATGGCCACGGTCCCACTGCTTGTGGGGGTTTCTCAGGGGCCGTGACCCTGCGGGGTAGGGGCTGGGGTGGGCTGGGCCCCCCAGCCTGCCCGCCCCGCCCCTGCCCAGTTACCGAAGACAGACGCCGCATTTTGCTGGACCGCTGGTTGCGGGGCTTCACCAAGAGCTTGTGCTTGGCTGCAGAGTTGTCCAGGCAGGAGGAGGACTCAGGTGGATACGCGAAGTCCGCCACGGGCGCCCCGGCGCTGTCCGAGGTCCTGGGGGAGACGGAGGTGTCGCTCGCGTGCCGGGAGAAGAGCTGGTGGGGAGACTGCGGCGGGGACGAGGAAGCCACAGAGACCTTCAGGGGACAGAGAGCAAACGCGCCAGGCATCAGCTTCTGGACAGGCACGGCGCAGCCAGCACACACCCACCCTCTCCCACCGTGCTCAGCCTCTGGACTCTACCTGAGGGGACATACTTGAAATCTGACTTCCAGCAAGGAGGGCTCCCTGATACTCCTTTAGAAAAATAAATGGCTGGGGGTTTGAAAGGTTGGGCCAAACCCCGGAAGCTCATCTGTCCTTTCCAAGAACCTGAGTCCTAGCACCCCTTAGCTGGGTAACTGCACCCTCCCACAGCAGCTGGCACGGGTGCTTCAGACTGGGGCTACTTTCTCCCATGAAGCCCACCAGCCCGATTCCTCAGCCCTGTCTCTGGAAGCCATGAGGGTGGCCAAGGGGTGTGGCTTCACAGCCCGTGCCCAGCAGCTCTCATCACTGTCCCTGGAGCTCCATGTGCTCCTTCTAGGGGTCTGTAGCTTCATGCATACTCTTGGGAAAAGCTGGCTTTATGTTACCAGCTCTTAAGTCTCAAATATTCTACTAGTTCATATCTCAGCAGGCAGTAACTGAAAGGAAGCAAAGGGCAAAAGTTAGGTAGGGGAGTCTCATGAAAGGGTGACGGCAACACACTGCGATACCATCCCCGCAGAGCTTGCAGGCTCCTTCCCAGAGGAAGAAGCTCCCTCCTCCTGCAAAGACACATATCAGCAGAGAGCAGCAGTGGGGGTCACCCACCGCGCACCCAGGAGCAAATTACACCCCGACGAGGAGCCAGGTGCAGAGGGAGAACCTGGGAGGTGCTGGGTGTTAGTGACAATCCTGCCACCTACAAACAAACACACAAAACCTTCTGTCCAGCACGGTGCTTGATATCAGTGTCAAGTTCACACTTTTTTCCAGTGTGTTTTATTTTCCAGTTTCATTTATTGTGATAAAACACACATAAAGATACTTACCATCTTAACCACTTTAAAGTGGACAGTTCATTGGTATTAAAAATGTTCACACTGTTGTGCACCCATCACCACCATCCACCTCCAGAACTTTTTCTCTTGTAAAACTAAAACTCTGTGCCCATTAAACACTAAGTCCCCATTCCCCCTCCTCCAGGCTCTGGTACCCACCACTTTCCGTCTCCATGAACTTGATTACTCTAAGTACCTCATGCAAGAGGAACCACATTGTACTTGTCCTTTCGTGTTGGGCTTATTTCACTTAGCATAACGTCTTCGAGGTTTATCCATGTTGTGGCACGTGCCGGAAGTTCCTTCCTTTCTAAGGCTCAAGGACATGCCACTGTGGGTACAGACCACCCTTCGTCTACCCACTCATCGGCTGATGGACACTTGGGTGGCCTTCACGTTTTAGCTGCGATTAAATAATGCTGCTATGAACACAGGAGTACACATATCTCTGCGAGGAACTGCCTTCAGCCCGTGTAGGTCTATACCCAGAAGTGAAACTGCTGGATCACACGGTAATTTTATGTTTAATTTTCTGAGGAACCGTCATGCTGATTTCCACAGCGGCTGCACCATTTTCCATTCCCACCGACAGTACAGGAGGGTACCCGCCATCTCTGCATCCTCTCCAACATTTGTTCTTTTCTGCCTTCTGTTTCGTTCTAGCAGTAGCCATCAAAATGAGGTGTGACGGGGTGCAAAGTTTTACATTTTAACTTAAGACCATAACTTTATGCACCTGACAATGATTTAGTAAATGGGCTCCTCAGGAAGGCAGCAGCAACAAGAAGATGCAGGCAGCGAGGCGCATGTCTCACTCAAAGTCTTTTCCACAACATGGGGCTCCACAGGACACGTGCCCAGCAGCGCCCCCAAATCAGAGGAGGAGCCAGAGGGGAGATGCTGTTAGCAAGCTGGGCACAGACGCAGGGACCACCCCCTGCAAGGAAACTGCCTGCAGAGGGATGTATTTTTCCTGTTAACATAAAGTCCCTTAGGTTTTCTAATGCAAGTACAAAGTTAATTCCTATCGACTGGGAGAAGACAATTATCAAAATGAGGGGAAAAGAGTTATAAGTGAACACAATCTATTTTAATTCCCTTGTTCTAGCAACTTGGATTCTTCCGGGAATAAAACAAGAAAAATTATTTTTAAAATAAACCACAGGACTCCTGGCCACAACTGCCTCCGTGTCTGTGGCTTTGGTTTCCACTCTTGTAGCTGATGATTCAGGGGGTCACCTTCCACTGAAGAGGAGACCCTGCCCCCAGGGAGTCCTCCAGCAGGATGGGGACATTTCACACTCACCCAGAATCCTTCATTTTCACCTTTGTCTAGAGAGACAATGGATATCCACACTTGGTGAAATTTTGGTTTGTTTTTTTTACTGTGTGAGGCTCAAGAGAGCAGATGAGATGAACTGCTGCAAATGCAGTGACTCCACGAATGAGAATGAATTCTTCTGTGACAATGTGACACTAGGGGCCTCGGGTCTCCCCTCTGTGAACCCAAAGGACCATCGTCCCCTGCCTCCTCTCCGCTTGGGTCCCCCTGTGTCTGCACTGCCTGGGCAGATGGTCCTGGCCCCGGGTCTGCTCTGGCTGGGGGTCCCGGGGAGGGGCTTAATGTCCCCCCCGACACTGAACAGCGGTCTCGGACCCTGTACACCCCGTGCCGGCCATCAACAGCTGGTCCTCCCACGAGAGAACAGAACTCCTGTCTGCACCAAGGTTCTGAGAGTTGTTGGGGCCTGGAGAATCCAAGACCTCCCCGATGGAGGAGGACTGAGTTTCCTCTTTGGTTGGTACAGCAACTCCGCAAGGTGCGGTGGGGCCCCCAGGGAGGAGGACGGGGCGGGAAAGCTGACCTGCATTGTTACCTGCCGGCTGGCAGCATCCACAGGTCATATTTGCGTGGTCTGCCCCTAGTTACCCAATTTTCCTGGACTCTGCCTCCGGATGATTCTGGAAGTGGATGATTTAAAAGTCTAGGAAGCTGCCCTTTGTTGGGGGGCTAATGGCTCACAGAGCCTTGAGGAAGCAGCCTGGGGTGCAGAGGCTTTTGGGGGTGACCCTGGGTGACAGCTATTTTACCACATTTGGCCTCAAAAAGGGGCACTGCCACCGAGGAGCAGGCAGAGGGTATCACTCAAGAAGTGGACAATAGACACGGGGCAGGGGCGGCGGGCAGGGGCAGCGGGCAGGTCCGGGGGAGAAAGGGAGGCACTGGGATACCTGGTCCCAAACCCTCCCAGGACACAGGTCCCCAGGGCTGACCGATCCAGCCCACAGCCTCGCCTGGGGAGCAGGGAGGGGGCAGCACCTCCTTTTGCCGCCAAAGCAGAGCCGTGTCCCCTTTGCTCTTTCCTCCTCGCCCGGAGCAAATCGGACCTGCCAGTTTGCCACCCTCTACCCGTGTTTCCTGCTTAATGGCAGGACACCTAGACCAGGACAACTTTGATGTGATTCTCCCTTAAAAACCACTGAATGCATTTCATCAGTTGTTACCTCACGTGGTAATGAAATTTTAAAAATAATCCCATGTATTTCCTGAAAGACTCATTGTCAGGAAATGTCACCTTGGCTGTGTCTGAAGGCCTTTTGTTCACAGCAATCTTCATTAAGTTTCTCTGTCAAGCGCGTGGGCCTGTGTAAGGTGCCACAACAGGAAAAAGTCAAACAGTCCACAGCCCCATGCTTTGGGGATTTAAGGTGCCATTATATCAAATACCATGTGTTACATAAGTTTGCTTTAAAGGGTTCATTGTTTCCCCCTCTCACCCAGGCTGCTGTGCTGGAAAAACTTTCAGGGCACAAAATATGATCATTGTGTCTTCAAAACCGTTGATGATAAGGATTATATTTTTTTATGTCTTAAAGGCTCAAATTTTGGTTTCCTATGAAGCTAGTGTATTGTTCCTATTACCCAGTAGTTGATAAAATCTCAGAACATTAAAAAAATATAACATCAGCACCAAAGAAGGGATGTTGAGAAGGACAAGGTCGGCCCCGCCCCGAGCGAGTGGCCCCCGTCAGCTGACGGTGGACTTTGTGCGTCACGGCGCTTCACAGCCTTGGAGCTGGGCTCACTCCTTAATGAAAAGACTTAGAAGTGACTCGTTCCTCTGTCCCATCTGTCCCAGCTGAACAGAGAACCACGATGCTGGGAGATGCAGAAGAACTGTGCGATGCAGTGAGCATGGAACGGCGGCTCACCACAGACGTATCCCCACCACACACACAGTCACCTCTGCTCCTGGGGCTGCAGACGCTGACACTGCACACCCATGGATGCAGAGACGTGTGTCACAAGGTGATTACACCTCAGACAGCCTGTCACCCTCCCCCTCCAGCACTGTAAGGTGTGAAGGGGTGCAGGGTGGGCTGGAGTCCAGGCAATGGGCCAAAACCTTCCTCCTTGTCTTCTCTGCCTTTTCCTCATGCTGGGAGAGCAGGTGTGGGGGCCCACTGCTCTCTGTCCTGCCCATGGAGCAAGCAGGGACAGGTCCCCCCAGGGCAGAATTCTGGGGAGAGTTGCTCTCGAGTCTGCAGTGTGGGAACCCCCACCCTGGGCGTGTTCAACTCAGCCACACCACAGCCCTTCCTCTGCCTTTCATCGGGGGTGCTCTGGGAACCCACAACTGCACACAAGTCAAGTAAACACTCCTTCACCAGCCTTTGCAGGGGGGCTTCTGGACGCCCAAGTTGAAGTGACCATGGAATGCATTTCCGAGCAGCAGAGAATGTGCAGGACTTTGTGAGGACCGCCTGGGTCCAGAGCACGGGGGCCGCTCCAAGGACACCCGGGGCAGAGGCGTGGCTCTGCATCAGACTTGTATTTGTTTTTCAGGTGTCAGCATAACACGGACAACCCCATCCACCCCACAGCAAGGCTGGTCTCCAAGGGGAAAACGATCACGTACTTCATCACTTAGGTACTCACATCCAGAAGAGCTCCAGTGTTTACACACGAGGAAGAGCTCAAGTCTTCCTCCTGGATTCCAGGGGGGAGGGTGGCTGCTGGGGCCAGTTCCTGGCCCTCCTGAGGCCACACACACCCTTCTCCCTGTCAAACTTTCCCTGAGGCCCTGCTGACCAGTACCATGCCTCGCATCTCTCCCCTAAACCAAGTTCTCACTGGCCCAACCTCAGATCTGGGAGCCTAGATTAAGTCATAAATGTCACCACACCCTTCTCCCTTCACCAAATGTCACGACAGAACACAGATTCAGAGCTGTTCTTCCTTCTTTTAGATGAGATGCCCAGTCTGGTCACCTGCTCAGACAGGAAGAACGAGGCATGGGGTCGAGAGTATCAGACCTTAAACCAGCATAAAAAAGGTCACCAAAACCGCATCTGCTAACAAGACCCAAATTCTGGCTCAAAGAATGAAAATAAATACAGCCCAGGGTTCTGGTGACCTGGCTGGAATACCTTCTGTCTGCACTGAGCATGGCCACAGCCACTGGCGGGGACCTTAAGGGGACACGCAGGGGCCCCCAGAGCCCCTGACTGCCCCTGCGGAGGGGAAGGACGGAGATGGGGAGGGGTGCAGGCTGCACTTGCCTTTATGGTTGTGCCGGGACCCGTGTCCTGCAACAGGGACATCTCTGGGGGACTCCTGGGCAGACCGTCGTCCTCAGAGCTCATGCCGGCATCGTCCCCACGCTGGGCAGGCAGGTCCCCCGGAGGAGGTGGTGGCCCCATTTTCACATTACACTGTATTTTTAACTAGATTGGAAGAAAGAACATTTACTGTTGTTTTCATCAGCGGCTTTCATCAATAAATCCTCCTGCTCCCATTCATTCCTTTCAGATGTTTTCAACGCCCTTGGCTGGGGCAGGGAACTGAACCGAGCGTCTGCCACCAGCTCTCTGGCTGTGATCATGAAAAGGAGGGGTTATCACTGCGAATGAGGCACGATCTGGTTGTAACTAACCCGGCGAGTCCTGGGAGAGCTGTGACCTGCATGCAATTCTGCTTTAGGACCTACCCCGGGAGCCCAGCAGAGACCCCTGTAGGAGTTCCTGCTTCCCAGCTGACACAGAGGCCAAGGAAGGGTTTACCTGCAGAGCTTTAATGCGGTCACACACGTTCTCTTGGGAAAACACCCGCACAGGTCGAGCAGGGTCCTGTCCCGACTCAGGAATGAAAATGCTGTCGTGGGAGAGGGCCCGGCTGCCCAGCGCGCCCCTCGACTCCCTAGGATGAAAGAAGCACCGTGAAACCCGGCTCAGCCCCCTCTCCCCTGGGGGCTCGGGGGTTAACAGCACATCCTCTACAATAAGCCTTCAGCTTACTGACTTTTTTCATTGCCTCTGACTTGGGTCCATCCTGCCAAATACCACGGTCAACCGTGAGGAGCTTTGGAAAGATAGGAATTTTCCTAACAGATCTGAAGGTTGTGTGAATTCTTTCCATTAATGGAAAAACCAAGGTCTGACGAGGTGTGAGGTCCAAGAAAGCAGGCCTGAAGAAAGGCAGGGCTGGCAGGGGGCCTTGGCTGGCTGGCCGGCCGGCTGGCTGCGAGCCGGGTGGAAGACAGCCGTGGATGCCCGGGGAGTGCGAGGTCATCCCTTGGAGGGCTGTGCGTCTGCACAGCAGGATGAGGGCCTGCCTGACGGAAGCTGGGGCCCAACGCACACATCCGTGGCTGGGCTTCAAGTGAGAAATGCAAGTGTGCAAAGCCACGCCTTCCTTTCATTACCAGATAGGATCCATGCCACCCAGCTTGGGTGACGAGGTTCTGGAGTGTGGATGGTGGTTCCCTCTGTCATCACCGACCCGACTGCTTCCCCAGCCCCAAGCTCAAGGCTCCAACTGGGAAATGAACCCAAGGACATTCACAAAATGTCCTAAGAGGATGTGGGACTTAGTTGTCAGACTTTCCGAGTGGCGCTGGCAGGCTGAACAATAGATGGAAGGAGGTGACTGCAATGTGATGGTGCGGGAAGGAAAGCCCATCCTGGAGACGCAGCCATCTTCTGCACCAGGCACCCCCACCGCCGTCCTGGGCATCCTGTCCTCCGGGAGGCATTAGGGACCCCTAGGTGTGGCCCTGCTCCACCGCAGATCAAACTGTGTCGGTTAGTGACGGTTTCTAACTGCCTTCTAGCCTGCTATAGTAAGCTTGCAAGTGGGATGTCCTCACATTTCCGGGAGGGAGTGAGGCCAAGGTAAAGAACAGGGTGGGGGGTGGGGGGGGTGGGGTTCCTGCCAAGGGCAGCCCTCGTCACAGAGATCACGTGCACACCGGGGCTTCCCTCCCACAGCCGGCAGCCCCCAGCCACTCCCTTTGGAAACCATGATCACTGGCAGGACCCCTCCACCTTGGGTGTCACTAGTGGCTGAGACAGCGGGGAAAGGCCTCCGAGGAGACACGATGGCAAAGACACAAAATGCCATGTGCTCAGGGCCACAGCAACATTTCTAGAAGCAAAAGGCTGGAAACAGCTTCCGTGTCCCCAGTAGGTATCTGAATAAAGTGTGGGACATTGTAGAATAGAGGCTTTTCAGCAACCAAGTGTGTGAGGGGATCTCTGAGCACAGGCGACACCAGGCTCTCCTAAGTGAAAAACTAGAACGGGGTGCGGAGCGATGTTTATGGTGTGTCAGCTCGGAGTGGGAAAGGGGGCACTGACAGACGTGAACGTATGTGTGTTTGCTTGTATTTTTAAAAATAAACATAAAAGGACAAGGAACAAGGGAGTAAGAATAGTCTCCTTTAAGGGGAAGGAGATAACAAGGTGGGGAGACAGGCGCTGAGGGATTTCCTTACATTTACAATTTTGTCTTTGAAACTATTTGAACATTGCACACAGTTAAAAGACAAAAATCAAATGAAGAGGGAAACTGAACCATCTCTAAAACTAGAAAACAAACAGAAGCAAATAAATCTAATTTTGTTTCAGGTTGTTGGCCTAACCACACAGAGAAAGGAATTACTTCAAGTGACTTTAACGCAGCATTCAGGTGACTTTCGATGCTGTAACAGGATAAATTCTAAGAACAAAAAACCCAAAGACAGCACATTATACTTACTTATTTTAGTAACAATATTGATTTTAAAAAAGCTGTGCAGAACACTCTTTATAGTATGTAACCTCTGTGTGGGAAAGTGGGGTAATGAAATTATTATAAGCATATTGGATGAAGAAGAAAATAAATAATTTTGTTAGTATCATTAGGAGCCAAGATTTCCAGTATAAGAGAAGAGTGGATTCAAACAAAGAATCAAAGCGGTAAAAATTTTTGTCTAATTAAATTTGATCTGGAAATAAAAGCGGATTAATGATTTATTTTTTCTTGAAAAAAACAAAACCAAACAAAACCATTATTTCCCAGCTGTATCTATTGGAAAGGTTCAGAAGGAATGACAGCAATCATCACCCCTGGAAGCCAAACTGTGGTCTCTAAAAACCATTTCACGCTAAAAGGAACCTGTGGAGAAACGGCTGATCACAGGTCCAGGGCAGGAAATTTTCAGAGTAAACCTGGAATTTCTCACTGTGCAAGAAAGCAAAGAACCTTTCAGAGACAAACGGGAGAACGTCCAAAGAACCCGGGAACTAATCTGAAGTGACTCGCAGTAGCAGAAGATGGGACAGTGTGAGCATAAAAATGAATAAAGCCTGTCATGGGTTTTTAAAGCAAATCAAGTATATAAAGTCCATGTACTCACAATGAGAGTCACGGAAAAAGCAAAGAAAAAAATAAAACTCATCACTCAGTGTGGAAACTTCAGGTCATTACTCTGAAGGTAGACTGAGAAGCGGTGAGCCAAGCATGACTGCTTTTCCTGTGCAAACTGTACGTCAGAGCAACACGGGGCTGACGGAGGAAAGGTCTTCTGCATAGAAGAGTTCTAGCCAGTGCATGCAGAACGAGTGACAGAGTTAGAAAACCCCCCATTTCACAATGAAATAATGGATCGTCAGCAGGTGTAAAAACCACCCAGTGAGCTATGTCTGCTCTTCAGTGATAATGCGAAATCGCTCCTAACCTCCATTTTATGCTAACAGGAACAAGGCTGGCTGGTAGACCGTGATAACACATGCTTCTAGAAGACAGCTACTGCCTACTATTTCTCTATTTCTTTTTGATCGTTTATCTTTTAAGCTCTTCCACCTTAAGCAGCATAAAATGTCAAAATTCATCACCACCTTCAAACTCCGTGGACCTGATCTTTCCAGAAAGACAGCCAACTCTTTTCTCTCCTTTCAGGCTTTTCTATGAGGTGGGCTAAAATTCCTTTCCCATCACATAGCAGAGTCCCCACTGCTAATTAAGGGATATGATCAAGTTTACAGTACGTATGTTTTTCTGTCCTCACTGGATAAATGTACACAGCCCAGTGCTTTCCATGTCTGGCCGCACATTAGAATCACTGGTAGAAGCTTTGGGGAAAAAACTTGATGCCCAATTTGTCTCTCACATTAACATGCCTGGGGGTAGGAGCCAGGCATTCGTATTTTTAAAAAACATTGGTATCTTTCAAAAAACAAGTGTTTTCAACATGCAACAAAGTTTGGGAACCACTGGCATAGCCCAAAGCTAAGATGTAGGGCTAAATGTTGTCCAAATATGTCATACTGTATCATTACTGAAGATAGAGCCAGGCTATCTTTAAAACAAACAAACAAATAAACCCAAAAAACCATCAGGAGCAATCACACTGAGAGAGACCCCTGAGGCCCACTGCTCAGTCGCAGTGTCACCAGAAGAGGGACAAGCAGAAAGTATGCGCTTGTGATGTAAGGCAATGTGACAGTAAGTATCCAGTACTATCTTGAATCCAATCTCATTAAATATCTAGATCCATCTAACATTGTACAAGAAATTCAGAGAATACAGGAATGAGTTCAATCATGCCAAAAGAAAGCAAATCCAGAGTGTGGGATGTTCTCCACCAGATCAATGACATGAAACAAAGCAGGCAAAGTGAAGTAAAATTGTTATAGATTGAAGGATTCAAGAAACATAAACCCACTGACACAATAATTGGGCACTAGCTTTTTAAACTGACACGAGGTTGGCCAGCACTAACGTACCCTGGAATAAATGCAGCTCTTCTGCCCACAGTGATGGATGAGAAGCTGCTGCAGGGTCTGGAAGGCACAGAGATTCTTCAAAGAGGCTAGAGTACCTTTAAATTTTTGTCTCTTATCTGGTCAATTAATTTATGACAAGAATATACAATGGGGAAATACGGTCTCGTCAATAAACAGCACTGGGAAAACTTGGACAGCCACATGCACAAGAATGAAACTGGACCACTATTTCACACCATACGCAAAAACCAAAATAGACGAAAGACTTGAACATAGGACCTGAAACCATAAAACTCCCAGAAGAAAACACACGGAGTAAGTTCATTGACATTGCTCTTGGCAATGAGTTTTTGGATTTGACACCAAAAGCAATGGGAACAAAAGCAAAATTAAACAAATGGGACTACATCAACTTAAAAGGCTTCTGCACAGCAAAGGAAACCATTAACAAAAATGGTAAGGCAATCTACAGAGTGAGAGAAAATATTTGCACATCACAAGACTGGTAAGGAGTTAATATATTCAAATTGTGTAAAGGACTTACACAACTCAATAGCAAAAAACTAATCCACTTGAAAAATGAGAAGATCTAAACAGATATTTTTCTAGAGAAGACGACAGTCAACAGGTACAAGAAAAAGATGGTCAACATCACTGATCGTCAAGGAAATGCAAACAAAAAGCAGGAGATACCACTTCAGATCTGTTAGAAAGGCTTTTATAAAAATAATAAGAGCTGAGTGTCAGTGAGGATGTGGAGAATAAGGAACCTTTTTGCACTGCTGGTGGGAATGTAAGTTGGGGCAGTTACTATGGAGAACTATATGGAGGTTTCTTGAAAAATTAAAAGTAGAACTATCATATGATCCAGCAATCCCAATTCTGGGTATTTATTTGAAAGAAATGAGAATGGGATCTTGAAGAGACATCTGTACCCCCATGTTCATTGCAGCATGAACCACAATAGCCAAAATATGGGAGCAACCTAAGTGTCCATCAGTGGGTGAACAGATAAAGAAGATGGGGGGGACACACACACAATGGAATATTATTCAGTCATGAGAAAGGTAGGCATCCTGCCATTTTCAACAACATGGATGGACCTTGAGGGAATTATGCTAAGTGAGATAAATTAGACAGAGAAAGACACACACTCTGTGACCTTGCTTATATGTGGAATCTATAAAAGCCAAACTCATAGACACAGAGAGCAGAACGGTGGTCACCTGGGGCCGGAGGGCGGGGTGGGGGTTACCGAGAGACGTTGGTCAAAGAGTACAAACTTCCTGTTACAAGAGGAATAAATCCTGGGATCTGAAGTGCAGTGTGCACAGCAGTTATTATAGTTAATAACACTGTACTATATACATGAAAATTGCTAAGAGAGTAGATCTCAAATGTTCTCACCACAAAAAAGAAATAGTAATTAGGTGACGTGACGCAGGTGTAGCTAACGCTCTGGGGTGATCATTTTGCAGGATGCAAGTGTATTAAATCGACAACACACTGTACACCTGAAAACTCCCACAAGCTGTCAATTACCGCTCAATAAAGCTGAAGAAAAGAAGAAAAAGATCTTGCCTCATCTCTGCGCTGCTCTCTAAGCTAACATTATTTGCATTTTCTGGGCCTCATCACCGCCCCCCACCCCCCACCAAGCTTCCTTTCCAGGCATCACTCCAGCAAATGTTTACCAGTTATTGTGGACCTGGCCCCCTCCAGGAGCTGGGAATATAAGGATGAAAAGGGCACTGTCCCCACTTTCCATGGGCACTGGTGATAGAGGAGATGGAAAGGGGGCGGTCATTTCAGGCCAGCTCACCCCTCCTCCTGTGCTCTTGTTCCTTGGCTGGAGGGGCCACTAAAGGTTCTGGTCAAGAGTCAGGGGGTAAGGGGGGTGAGTGTTGTCATTTCCCTGGGGCATTTAACAATGAACAATATTATACGATAATGTCTTGCTCCCCAAGAGTTTGGAGTGGCCTGAAATTTGCCTGTGTAGCTCGTCTTCTCTGCACCAGGGGGGAAAAAAAAAACCTGAAGAAAAAACCCAAATCAGTCTTTGGTGCCCCCTAGTGGTCAGCGTGGTTTCTACTCTTTTAGAAACAGGAGAGGAGATTGGTGAGGAGGGAGGGGACAGGACACCCTCGCGGGGATGCTGAAGCCAGTGACCTGTCTCAGTGTGGTCTATTTCCCCAGCCCCAAGGTCGTTATGTCTTCCGAAGAATTTTATCCTCAAATTAAGGTGCTGACGTTGTTTAAAAGAAAATATAAAAGCTGGCAGGGAAGAAATCTGGTTTTTTTTTGCCCCTTTTTACTCACAGGAATTAACGTCTGGAGTAACTGAAGCATATGTATTGTAACTATATTTTGATGAAGTACAAGTTACAAAAATAAGGATTTCTTCACTAGACTCCCCCACATTTCATTCCTATTGGTTCTGTTCTTCCTAACAATACTTTTGGATGATTTTTCTAAGACTGAACAGCAAGAAGCCGTCCCCTCCTCAGCCCTCCCCCTTTTCTCTAATGGAAAACTTCCTCACTGGGTGACTCAGGGTTCAGGCTTAGAGAGACGTATTTTTCTGGTATAGTATCCAGGTCCTCAAAAGAGTTTTAAGTCAAATTAAATCCGGGCTTACATCCTAATCTTCACTTTCAGCTGTAGAATGTTGGGCAAATTTCCCAAAATTTCTCTAAAGCTTGGTTTCCTCATTCGTAAAGTGGTATATCTTACCTCCTCTCCCATAGTTCTCTAGACTTTTAATATATACAGCACCTGGCATGTAGCGGGTACCTGAAAATCCACCCCCCCCACACACCAACTTTCTCCATCCCTATGTACAAAAAGTCAGAAAACATCACTTCTTTGGAAGACCCTCCAGTGGAACCTAGGAAGAAAGGAGGCTCAGTGATCCATCGAGTTACCATGACAACGAGCCCCAGTATTTGGGTCCTCCTGTGCCCCACCCCCCGCAGCCCCACTCCTTGGAACACAAGCCTGAAGGATGGAGAAGGCAACTTACTCCAGCTCATCCTCTGAGTCATAGCCCACTGGCCCCGACTCGATGGCAATGACCTCATTCTTCGCCTGACTTTGTTTCCAGGTGCCACCTCCTGCAGAGGAAGGCGATTCCTTTCTCTTCTTCTTCCCGAAGAACTTCTTAAATGTTTTGAATTTGGATTTTTTCTTCCCTAGGCAGAAAGAAGGTGTGTGAGTTTTTACCAAACACGTGTGAGATGTGTGCGCGGAGAGAAAGAGATTCCTGATCACGCATCAATCACCTGCTCCTGGAAAGTCCTTTTGCAACAGAGAAGTATGTGAAAGACACAGCGTACCATTTTTGCACGCCTGAAAACAAATCTTGATTTCTGTTTATTTCGGATATTTAATAAAAGAACCAAGCAAACTTCGGAGCATGATCACAGAATCAAAGCACAAGCAACTTTCCTCTTACTTGAAATCAACAATTTTCAATAGATCTTTCACTTGCTCGATTAAATTTATTCCTAAATACTTTAGGAATTAATGAATGAATGAATGATTGAATGAATGAATTAAATTGCTATAGGCTTTTTGTGTAAACATCAGGTTCCATTTCTCTTAGGCTAATACGGAGAAGTGGAATTGGTGGGTCATAAACTAAGTGTATGTTTAATTCTATAAGAAATAGTTAGACTACTTCCCAAAGTGGCTGTACTGTTCTGCATTTTCATCAGCAACATATGACAGTTCCAGTCACTGTGCAGCCTCTCCAGCACTTGCCGGGTGTGTTTCTGCTTCTGTTTTGCCATCTGACAGGTGTATAGTGGTATCGCATTGTAGTTTAAATTTGCACTAATAACTACTGATGTTGAGCACTTCTTCAAGTGCTTATTTGCCATCTGAATATCTTCTTAGGTAAAGCATCTTTTAAAATCATTTGCCTATTTTTAATTGGATTCTTAGTTTTCTTATTGTTGAATTTGTCTCTTGTCAAGTGTGATTTGCAAATATTTTCTCCCAGTTGGTGACCTGTCATTTCATTTGCTTAACAGAGCCCCACAGAGCAAAGGGGTTTTTTTTTAATTGATGTATAGTCGATTTACAATGTTGTGTTAATTTCTAGTGTACAGCATAGTTATACATATATATTTCTTTTTCCTTTTCATATTCTTTTTCATTTTAGGCTATTACAAGGTATTGAATATAGTTCCCTGTGCTATACAACAGTACTTTGTTGTTTATTTATTTCACACATAGTAGTTACTATCTACAAATCCCAAACTACCAGTTTATCCCTCCACCCTACTCACCTTTCCCCCCTGGTAACCATAAGTTATTTATCCCTATTTATCCCGCCCCACCTCCCTTCCCCTCTGGTAGCCACAAGTTTGTTTTCTGTTTGTGAATCTGTCTGTTTTGTAAATAAGTTCATTTGTGTCCTTTTTTCTTTTTTAAGATTCCATATATGAGTGATATCATATGGTATTTTTCCTTCTCTTTCTGGCTTATTTCACATAGAATGACTATCTCTAGGTCCAGCCATGTTGCTGCAAATGGCATTATTTTATCCTTTTTATGGCTGAGTAGTATTCCATTGTATAAATATACCACAGCTCCTTTATCCAGTCATCTGTCAATGGACATTTAGGTTGCTTCCATGTCTTGGCTGTTGTAAATAGTGCTGCTATGAACATTGGGGTGCATGTATCTTTTCGAATTAGAGTTCCCTCTGGATATATGCCCAGGAATGGGACTGCGGGATCATATGGTAAATCTATTTTTAATTTTTTGAAGAATCTCCACACTGTTTTCCATACTGGCTGTACCAAACTACTCTCCCACCAGCAGTGTAGGAGGGTTCCCTTTTCTCCACACCCTCTCCAGCATTTATCCATTGTGGACTTTTTAATGATGGTCATTCTGACTGGTGTGAGGTGATAACTCATTGCAGTTTTGATTTGCTGATAATTAGTGATATTGAGCATTTTTTTAATGTGCCTATTGGTCATTTGTATGTCTTCCTTGGAGAATTGCTTGTTTAGGTCTTCTGCCCATTTTTTATTGGGTTGTTCGGTTTTTTTGTCATTGTTGTTATTGAGTTGTATGAGCTGTTTGCATATTCTGGAAATTAAGCCCTTGTCAGTCTCTCACTTGCAAATATTTTCTCTCATTCTGTAGGTTGTCTTTTTGTTTTATTTATGGTTTCCTTGAGCAAAAGCTTTAAATTTGGATGAGATACAATTTATCAATTTTTTCTTTTAAGGATTGAGATGTCATATCTAAGAGCTCTTATCTAATCCTCAGTTATAAATATTTTCTCCTATATTTTCTTCTAAAGGTTTTATCATGTTACATGTATGCTTATGATATACTTTAAATTAATTTTTATACATTCTTTGAGGTATGGGCCAAAGTTCATTTTTTCACATATGAGTGTCCAAACGCTCTAGCACCATTTGTGGAAAAGACAATTACCTCTGCATCTTTGTCAGAAATCAGTTATATTTGTATGGGTCTATTTTTGGACTCTGTTCTAGTCTATCTTTATGTGTCTATCCTTTCTTTCATTGATACCACCCTGGCCTAATTACTATAGCTTTATAGTAAGTCTTGAAATCAGGTAATGTGAGTTCTCCAACTTCGTTCTTTTTCAACATTGTTTTCACTATTCAAGTTCTTTTGCTTTTTTATGCAAATTTTAGAATCAGCTTGTCAATCTGGAAAAATATCCTGCTGGGATTTTGTTTCACCTTTGCTCCTCCTCCTCCCCCTCCCCACCAGGTTATTTCAAAGCAAATCATCCCAGCAACTATTACCATTTCATCCATATGGATTTGGGTTCTTCTGAAATAATAAAAAAAAAAAAAATCTCTGACTCTTCATGGAAATCAAATAAGTAATTACTGGTCAATATTCTTGCTAGAGAATATTGAACTGTGTCCTGCCTTTCATAGCGGACTTATAAACAGTGCGCTCTATTCACAAGTTTTACTAAAACCTCCCATTCTGCAGGTCAATTTGGGAAGAACTGACAGCTTAGCAACACTGAGTCTTCCAATCCATAAACATGGTGTCTCAGTCCATTAGGGCTGCTGTAACAAAGTACCATTAACTTGGTGGCTTATAAATACATTTATAAATATATTTATAAAAAATGATATTTGGAGGGTTAAGATTTTAACATATGAATTTGGGGGGGCACAAATATTCAGCACATCACATACAGTATATCGCTCTATCCATGAAGGTCTGCTGATTTCTTTAAACAATTATTTGTATTTTCAGGATTTTCATGGATTCTGCATATATTTTCTTAGAAATAAACTTAAGTATTTCTTTTTATAGGTTCTATTAGCTCACTCTTATTTGAAAAAAAAAAAAGCACCATAGTTTCTTTCTTTTTAAAAACTGATTCTTCACAATGATGTCTGTAAATATCCCAAACCAGCATTTATGGAGTTTGCTTCAGACTAATGAAATACTTCTTTAAACAGTATTTTCTTGTTTAAAATCAGTAATAACTCAGTGCCCCATAATACAAGAAATTCTGAAACTCCGTCTTCTTTCAGAGTTGATTTTTAACCCCCGACCTTATATTTGGGTTTATTTGGTGTCTACTGAAATGTGGCAGAAAAAAAGTGGCTCTCATATGGAATAAGTGTAACCCCACTATAATATATGAAACAAAGTTTTAATGAAATTAACATCTGAAGCTAAGAGTTAGCAGCTAGGATTTAATATCATCGGAAGCTGTTCCCCTGAACTATGTCAAAGACGATCACTACTAGCATTTCGACTTTTAACAAGAGAAAGATGGAGACCTTTGTCCCTGGAATGGGTGAGTATAAATGGCTGATATGGGGAAAAAAAGGTACATGTGGGGAGATCAGTGTTTTTTAATGTCAATTTTACAACTCCATCAAGGTATAAACAGCAATCTATAAGTAACAGTAAACCAATTACATCACTGAGTAACTCTTGGAACGTGTTATGAGATGACTCATGTGCTTGGAATTTAGCTCAGCAGAAAGTAATCACAAAGGTCTCCTGAAAGAGACTAACAGCCACACAAGTGGGATCAAAGGCTCGCTCTCGGTCTTATTACTCCTTCTGGATGATAAGGCTGCCCAACACCCTGCCCAACGTCCCGCTGAAACTTCCGAGTGCTCCTGGATGATAAATGATTCCACTGCATCTCTCTTCCTTTGCTTTCAAGTCAACCAAACATGGGACATGTTTGCCTCCGGGAATGAGGACAGTGATGTAACCACCCCTCCCCGGCCGTGTCTGACAGCGACGCAAAGGAGCACCGCCCCCGCGTGGCCTTCAACAACCTGCGAGTGTTCTCCAGCCCCAGCCTGAGGGGCCCGGGGGTGTCTGAACACACTGTGAACTGAATCCACTCCCCACGCGGAGAGCCCACCAGCAGCCCCTCTCCCTGCCCCGCACCCCAACCAGGGCTCTTCCCAGGGGAGAAGAAGCGAGGGCCTTACCTGTGCCGTCCTCTCCAAGGCCTTCTGCAGCCTCCCGAAGCTTAATGTCCATCACCCTCGTGGAAATCATTTCCAGCTCACTGAAATCAGACAGAGTGTCACGTTAGAGGCACACATCGAGCAGAACCCAACAATGACCAAAATGGTGGTGACTGTTTCTCACCCAGCAAACTACAGATTCCTGGACAGTAGAGGCCAAAACCATGTCTAAGGCTCAAGATTAATAACGTGTATCTAATCACTGACCAGAGCAATTTAATGGAAAACAGAAAACTGGAAAATGCTTAACCAATTTATACCATGCAGATTTGGTTCCTTTCTTTGAAAAGAAAATTTTTTTTCAGAAGCTATGTTTTTCTCTTGTTCACTGTAGAAAGTTTGGAAGATATAGAGAATGCAAATCGCCCATTATCCCCCCAACCAAGGATGACTAACCACAGTCAATGGTATTTCCTTCCAATATTTTTTCTATGCAAACTTTTGTGTGTACAATCACACATGCACCATAACAGTAAGATGGACCCCCTGATTTTCTTACTTACATCATTAAAATTTTCGATGTGTTATTGTCATGGTTACAAAATACTTTGATATATAGCTGCACCATTGTTTATTTACATTGTTTCTTTTTTGAGCTTTTTATTACAAAAAATCTCAGATTCAAAAGTATACAGAATGTATTTTGAGCTTAACACTCAGTGACTACTGCTTCATGTAGACCCCTTCTCCCCCACAACTAGCGAATCATCCAGATGCTATCATCATTGCATCCATAAGGACTTGGCTTCCTCCAAAATTAAAAATCTCTGGCTCTTCATGGAAATCAAATAAACGATTACTGGTCAATATTCCTGCTACAGAATATTGAGTTATGTCCCTGCCGGCCATCGCTGACTTTTAAACAGCACACTCTACCCCACCCACACAGACGAATTCATCATTTATTTGGAAAGCAACTTCTTATTGGCAATTACTATGAATTCTCATACTGTAAAAGGGAGCTTGAATATTTAATTTACCAATTAACATTTACCACTTGTACATAGCATATAATGAGAAATGACAGGAGAATTTATTTTTTTAATATTTAACAGAGGAAAAAAGTTTCAGGTCTTTGCTAGAGTTGAGTCTAATTATTTTTGTCTCCTTTAATATTAATGTCAAACTTTCCATCCCTGTCCAGACAATTCCTTAAAAGGTGAACAAAGCTTCATCAGCCTTGCTTCTTTACTGTGATATAATTTGGCTTTAGAAAAATGTCTGATCAACAGAATGAAGAGGGAAAAAACCCCACATGATCATCAACACTGATGCAGAAAAAATATTTGACAAAATTCACCACCTTTTCATGACAAAACACTAAAAAAACCAGAAATAGAATAAATTACCTCAATGTAATAAAGGCTATATTTGGAAAGTCCACAGCTAACATCACACTCATCAGTGAAAAATTCAAAAAGTTTTCCCCTTAAGATCTGGAACAAGACAAAGGCACCCACTCTCACCACATCTACTCAACGTAGTACTGAAGTCCTAGCCAGAGAAACTTGGCAAGAAAAAGAAATAAAAGGCATCCAGATTGAAAAGGAAGAAGCTAAACTATCTCTTTTCACAGATGATGTGATTTCATACGTAGAAAATCCTAAAGATTCCACCCTTCAACAGACACAAACTGTCAAATAAATGTATTCATCCAAGTTGCAGGACGTGAGATGAACACACAAAACCCAGGTGTGTTTCTATCAAATAACAATGAACAATCCAAAAAGGAAATTAAGGAAACAATTCCATTTGCAGTAGCATCAAAAAGGCTAAAACACTTAGGCATAATTTCAACCAAGGAGACAAAAGAATTGTACCCTGAAAACTACCAAATGTTGCTTAAAGATGCAAGATGATGCTAATAAAGAGAAAGACATCCCATGTTCATGGGTTGAAAGACTTAATATTATCGTTATGATGTCCCTACTCCCCAAAGCAATCTACAGATTCAACGCAGTCCCTATCAAAACCCCTGATCCCAGAGCATCCTGCTGCTTAATGCTACACAGAGGGAGGGGCAGCTACCAGGGCATTTGAAGGAAGAAGCAGTAGTGAAGGAAAAGCAGGAAAATATAAGGAGTACAAAGAGTAAAAGTGGTGACAGTTGGTTGAGGGTTACCAAGTACTGCCCTGGGTACCGTCCTCTGTGGTTGGCACTGAGCTAGACAGTACAAGAGCTCAGGCTTTCTATTGCTTGAGTTTGGAGTTAACAACTGAAATTACTTCTCCAGCATGAAGCATATCATGTGAATTGTTTGATTTAATTCCCAAGAACTTTAGGTATTCCCATTTTGGAATTAAAAGCACACATTATGTATCAGGTAAGTTTATTAACTGGCCCAAAGTAGTCAAGCAGAGACACCAAACTATGTACTCATTTGACTGCATCCCCAGCACGGGCAGGCACTTACGAGGCCTGGGGATACAGGCTGGATGAGAACCACGTGGTCCCCGTCTCCTGCAGCTGCTAAGCCAGTGGAAGGGAGAGTCTTGAGCGGTCGCAGAGGGGCTTAAAGATAGCAGGGAAATCCAAAGGACACCCATCTCCAAGGAAATGGTTCTGCCTGCCAGGCAGCCCCGGTCCAGGATCAGGCCGTGGCCTGGAGGTTGACGGAGCCCCAGGAGACCACCCACTGGGTCTGACAGGGCATCTCAGTCTAGGGGATGAGGGGTGACGCTGCCATTATTTTTCTACTAACACTCTTGAGAAACCATGACATTGCCTTCAAAACGTCCAGTCGCCACTGCACATTTTAATAAAACGTTCCTTGCTGGGAAGCACTGAGAACACGCAGGCACACATAAGCATGTGCACAAGCCCCCAGGGTGGGTGTGCAGAAGGGCGCCCATCCCGCCGAGCGTGCAGCAGATCCAGGAGCTCGGACACGCTTCTCCCTGGGTCGAGCGATGTGGCTGTGATAAAGCCACACATGGCAGAGGGTTCAGGAGCAGGCGGCGGGGAGGGGGACCCAGGAGGATGGCCAAGCTTTCACCGTGCTGTGAGGCACATCCCGGTGGGGCCCAAGCGCAGAGACCACCGGATGCCAAGTGTGCTAATGGACTCACACACGGAGACAAAAGTCACCCTGCAGATGAAGGGACAAGTCAGGCTCACCCCACGTGGGAGGTTCAAAACCTGCTCACGCTGCATGTTCCAAACACGTCCTCACTAATGAGAGTGCAATACGGTGCAGAGGAAAAGGGAAAGAATGGAGGCGAGGCAGTCCTGGAGCTGAAGCCACACCCCACCACCTACTGGTGCTGAGCCTCAATTTCCTCATCTACAAAATGGGAATGATAATACTTTAACCAAATGGGACTGAGAACACGACACATTCAAATACGGCTGAGAAGAGCTGCCGGTTTCTGCAGCTCATTCCTCACCACAGGCTCACGCCTCTACACGAACACAGACAAGAACACACACCACTGGCACACCAGGCAGTGGGCGAGTGTCCATTCCGTCTTGTGAAGGCACAGCCTCCTTGTGTAAATGACTCACTTTAGAGCTGCCGGCAGCAAAGATCAAGACATTTGGATTCTCAGATGACCCCCGAGCTCCCCAATGCCCCACAGCCTGATGGACCACGAACGAAACTGCAGCCAAGTAACTGATAAAAATGTATGCCAGCCATGAAGGAACGCCCGCCCTCTGAGACTGCGGGATGCGTGGATGGAGGGCCGTCCCCACCACTCAGCCACTCCAGGTGCAAACGCCCCATAGCTGTGACAAGGGAATGTTTTCTCTGTTGGGCCCAATAACTTGCCCTGCTGAGCACATGTTCCCCTACCCGAGCAAAACTCAAGGAGAACGCAGAGCGATGCCATAATTAGAAAGGCCATACCCAGGCAAATACCTAGTATCTCCCAGCAGCCCTTTCGCATCTGGCTAGAACTCAAAGTCCAAGTCAGGCAACTGCAACGCCTCCTCCACCAGCTTCTGCCCTCCACCTGCTCGCCCCTGTTGCTCTGACAGCTCAAGTTCAAGTACAGGAAAGTTTGTTCTTTAAATCTGGACCTGAGGGGGCCTCTCCAGGGATTCTAATTAACCCCAAAGGGTGCTGAGCCTCCAGCCCCCTCTGCAGTTCACAGCACTCACCATTGTGTATCTGGGCGCCTACAGAATCCAGGAGAGTCCTGCATCCAAAGAAAGATCTCAGTGGGGCCTGCCCCTACGCCCTCTTTCTGAACCCTAACCAACCACGGGCTTCTCCCCAGACTACGGCAGGATTCTGTCATTAGTTGCAGCTTATACTAACAAATTCTACAGAAGTTTATTCACGTGAAGAATGAGAACAGATTTGAATATGGCATTTGAAAGGTTCTAATCTATTATATTTATCTACACAATGCAAAGAAAAGCACCTGTAACCTGATTATAGACCTCTGGGCCCGTAATTACGTACGAAAGCCCTTGTGTTCACCCCTACAGATCCACCAACCGCCCACCGCCCTCCAGGTCACGCTCACAGCCCTGTGTCTCCTTTCTCAGCCCCTGGACCTTCTTTCACAGCGCTCACCAAGGCTGTCAACAGCAACGTGTTTGTAAGGCGTCTGCCCACCATTCCGCGTGCTCCGGAGACTGTGGGCTTTGAAGAGGGAGTCCTACGCCTGTCACATCCATTACTCTCCTACCAGCTATAAACAACCTGAAAATGAAGTTAAGAAAACAACTCCATTTACAATAGCACACAGAAGAATGAAGCACTCAGGAATAAATATAACCAAGGAGGTGGAACATCTGTCCTCTGAAAACTTCAAAACAAGGTGGAAAGAAATTAAAGGCAGAAATAAGCAGAAAGAGATCCCATGTTCTTGGATCAAAAACTCGACACGTTTGAAATGGAATTACTCCCCCAAATTGATACACAGATTCAATGCAATCCCTATCAAAACCCCAGTGGGCTTTTTTTTTTTTTTTGCTAAAATTGACAAGTTGATCTGAAAATTCATATGGAAATACAAAGGGCCCAAAACAATCTTGGAAAAGAAGAGCAAAGGTGGAGGATTCACACTTCTCAGTTTCAAAAATTACTAC